GTGGTCAGCTTCGAAAACTGATTCACCTTCTAAGAACTGCCGCGAAATGTCACACATATCATGAATTAAGCTGTGCGCACTGAACACCGATACTTTCTTCCATGAAATTGCCATTTAGATCGCACAAAGCAAGACCTTACGGCATGCTCATTCAAGGGCGCAAAGTAATACGGCCAGCAGGCGCACGATGCATTTGCTGTCGTGATCTAGCCCGGTCGGCACCACGTTTTTCGTTTGTCATTGACCTCTTTGTAGAAGCTGCAGAACTGAGCCAATCGTCCAAAATTTTCACAACCCTGTGTAGTTCGATGGTGATCGAATGTGCAGCGTGTGATAACGGCAGACAACTTGCGCGAATAAGGACATCAAATAAATATTAAGATTGTGCCTCAGAGAGGCTTTTGCTAATGCGAAATTGTACCTAACTACAACCAGTGGAATAGCCAGGGGGTGGCACAGCAAGACCGTGTCTCCCTTCCGAAATTTTGGAGGTGCCTCATCGAAAACAATTTCTGCCAGCGTCCCTAACTACAACTCTTAATGAGGCACGCGCGTGCATGTGACTATCTTACGTTTGCATTGCAATCATGACATTTAGGTTGCGGTTTCCCGGTTGCAGGTAAGTAAAGTGAACTTGCTGCCCCAGATGAGTTGTGGTGGTGCTTGCGCCGTTAAATCATCACACGGCTTCGTCGTCCCAATAGTGTACATCTCACCCGGAACCTGGCAGACTGACGTCGTGAACTTCTTGCTGCACAACCCTCCGTGCTGTGTGCGTACACAGGATGCGCCGGTGATAGTCACTGAGACTTCAACATTAATATATTTCGTGAATACCAGTGGTTTGTCGCGTTTCTCGATGCCGAACTTGAACTTACCCTCCTGTCGAACGTTACGCAGTGAACTATTCACAACAACGCTTACTGTCAATTCAAGCACAATGAATCGTGTTCAGCATACAGTTCGTATGGTTTCTGAATCTCCTAGCCTTAACTTCGTATTACAGTCCGATGTGTTGCTATCGCATTAATTGCTTCGGCCTTGTGCGTAAACGGCATTTTTTTTTTCAAGAGTGTAGTGCCGCCACCCTTCCACGGATGGGCTGCAAACACCCGCAACATAACTCGGGCACTACTCGGGACAATATCGAAGTCCGCCATGTTGTCAGCTTTCGTCTTTTCTCAGCTCTGATTGGCCAAGAGTGCAGCTATGTTCGGCTTAAAGTGTAATCATTACAGACCTTCACAACAAAACGTAATTCGACAGTGTCCGCGATGGCGTCCCGGATATGAGTAATGACTACGGGAGACCAAAAGTTGCAGCCACTTCTTTTTTATTATAATCTTGGTCCACGCCTTCTTTAGTGTGGATGTACACATAAACCGACAAAACACACTTTTCTACAGCTTCCAAAGGGGGGGGGGGTGAGGGGATTTTTTCGTACAATTTTTTGTGTAATCAGGTTATCTCGCCATATTTTATTGCTCTGGGATGTACTCTCTCTTACAAGCACTTTGCCCCTCAGCAAGTATGGATAAGTCATTCCAAAGAGACGTACGTACGTACCATGAAGCCATCACACTCGTTTTTTTTTTTTGTCTTTCTGGCACATGCACTACTCTTCCGAATGCTGTGGTACTGCTTACACAGTTACACTTGTACGACCTTCTTATACCATGACAATTAACACTCGGCCGGGTACAACAGCTTTTCACGTTGAGGTGAAACACTGCGGAAATTTTGCCCACGTTAGGAACAGTCACCATGAAGTTGCTTAGAGGAAGAGCAAATTATTCGAAACGAAAACTTCGTATCGCAATAAACAAAAAACAAAAACAGCATGACTCTCGCTAGTCTAAAGGGTGGATTCGGGTTACAAGAGGGTTTCAAGATAACTTCACGACACGTAGTGATGTATGTACCGACGTAAATGAAACAGATTAATTCGAAACCAGCTTCGAACAAGCTTCGCTCATTATCTTTCTTTTTATTTCACTTTTTCCCCCTGTGGCGACAGTACTGCTGAACCCCAATGTGTCAAGTCACAGCAAGCTAGCACGGACGAGTTCAAACACAAATAACGCAACCAGTCGCCTCATTGTGCAGTTGGCCATTAATGATATGTTATGAGAAGTGGCGCGCCACTAATTTACACTCGATCATAACTGAACAAAGTATTTCTCTATTAATATGTAGAAGCGCTGTTTTTTTTTTTACGTACTCAGGTTGACAGCCAGTGCCATGCCGGTTCCCGGATCCTACAGAGATCGACAGCGTAACTTCCGGTCTACGTCATACGTGGGAGACTCACTTGACCTGTCCATAGACGTCGGCTATGACGTGATATCACTACCGTATAATTGGAATGAGAGAGAAGTTGTTGCCTGCTGTTGCACGAGTATCGCCACCATCTTTCCATTGTCAAGTCTTGCTACTGGGAGACCGGTAACCTACGCTTTCATGGCGTAGCATGTGACGTTTCTACTGAGGTCACGTGACTAATGCGTGTGACAGCTACCGGATGTTCCACCATTGCACTCTTCGGAATATGGAAACGCGCTTCTGTCAAAGGCAGGGCCGTTTTATAAGTAGCTCTTTTTTGTCTTTACGGAAACTATCCCATGAAACACCGCGCCGTGGGTTCACGTTGTCGAGTTGCATAACGAACAGAAGAGAGCATCACGAACCAAAAAGATGACGTAGGGAGGTCACGTGAACAAGGCAGTCAGAGATGAGAAGGACGCGTATATATATCACACACGCGCAGCTAAGCCTAACAGCTGCCAGGGATATATAAACGAGCTTACGCGCATGTCGCCATGGGAACACCAATGGACAGGCATATTTTATTCCCACTCTAAACACTCGTGACCGCAGTTTCTTTTGCGGGGCGTGCTCAAAAAAAAAAAAAAAAGCTGACGCCACTGCTTCGTTACGTAAAGGGGATGTCGATCACACATCAGGAACATGCGACACCATAGTAGGACATTCTCTATGTACACAGGAATTCTAGAGTGCCATTCTTTTGAAGCTTGGCTATAGGATCGATCGAGGAACATGACGTAGTTAAACAATGTCTACAGTCGGCTGGACGAGTGGACAGGAAGAACGAGTTGACTTGTTCTTCGCCTGAACTTTTGCAAACGAAAAAGCTGACCGAACCTCAAAAAAAAAAAGTTAGCAACGAACAGACTGCTTGATACTATAAGCAATCGGTATATAAGAACCACGCTTGCTTTAGTGTGTGCAATAAAGTGCAAAAAAAAAAATTAAAGGTTTTGATGCTTAGTTAAGGGATTTAATTTCTCAGTACTACAATTTTATGCGAACCAGAAACTCAGGTTGCATTTATACCCAGATGAACAAAATGAAAAAAATTCCCAACTGCATCACTGAACTAGAAACCTTTCCAGCTGGAAAGATTTGTGGTACCCTAATTCAGCTCGAAGTGAACAAATATCCACCTGTTACGTTGTCAGTTTCCAGCTGGAATTTGACCATAATCCCATTGAATATTAACGGACTTCGACCAGAGTAATATTACTATATAAAAGAATTGTCGAACTAGAAATCTAATTGAAAAGATTAAATAATGCAGCTGGCAATGAAACTTCTCATTTGTGTAAGCAGATAATTCAGGCAGCATTCATAGAAAAGGTTTAAAATGAAAAAGCTCGAACGTCTCAGCCGACAGACACGATGAGAGGAACTGTTTAATAGGTGTTTGATGCCAGTTACGTATGCACAAGCACAATAAGCTATAACTACAAATAAAGCAAATTAATGAACAGCTGCCACATACATACGTTTTAGTGCTGGTAATATTGATGCCCTTTCTAATGCTTTTACTATATACATTCACATTCAAGTGCACATTTTGCGATTGCACAGGACCGAAGTCGGTAATGACAGCCTGCTATGTTGGTCGGACTAAGTCTACCAACTGATAAGCCAGCCTGCGTTGCAGCTGTGTTTGGCCATGAGCCTACGCATTAGCCCTTAGGCGAAGATCCTCTTGGTAGTGAATAAGTAGTCCCTTATCCACTTGTGTTATATAATGCCTTTGGCACTGTCACATCTCACCAGTAAAGGTCGATGCCCAGTGTTTCAAGTTGACCGAAAAAAATACTATATACCACTAAAACAGGACTTGCAACAAATGTTTTGAAAAGATGCATTCAGCTAATTCACTTAAATGGTTTTTTTAATCATGTAGCTTTAGTTTCGGTAAACTTTTTTAAAGCATATACGACTTGTTACTTCGCAATTAGGTGAATTTCTGGAAATAAATTTCATCTCTTGAAAAGTTAACTTTGCTAGTGGTGAATGAGACGTATTTGTCGGTGTGAAAATGAGACATTTTTTACAAGGCTGAATGTTAAGCTTGATGAGCAGATAGAACAAGTTTAACTATATAATACCTACATGATTAACCTGAATACATTAAGTACTCCATGGCTTTTTTTTTTTGTTTCCTTGCTATCGTTGCTTTAATAAAAGTATAATTTTTCTAAACTAACGGGTCACGAAATACGTGGATGGGATATCTGGAAAAAATATATGTGGCTTTTTAAAAAACTGGTGGCTCACACACAGAAGAGATAGTGAGAATGCCAGATAAAATCGCAGAAGCCACAATTACGATTTCTTTGGCTTGTGAAGTCCTGCACTGCGGTAATGCCTAGTTGAGGGTTTTAGCCAGCCCGCAATAGAAAAATAAATTTTTATAAAATCATAAATGAACAAATAGTGATCCATGTGGGTTTACTGAGACATTTAAAAAGCAAAGTTCAGTTTTAATGTATTGTACTCATGAGTCCTCATCATTCTTTTTCATTCGGAAGCAGACACAGCAGGCTGAATTAGAAAATTTCGCTAGTGTCAAGCTGAAGTCATTAGGTAGCTTGAAAAGCCCGAATGTAGTTGACGTTAAAAAACTACTGTTTTTTTGTGTGTGTGGTGTTGAACCAAAGAAAAACAAATAAAACAGAACACAACAAATCAGGGAAAAAATACTGTATTGACAACATGTGGATATGTGATTTTGCAAAGATGCAGGTTCTTTTTCTTTTTTTTTTCTTTAAGTACGTGGAAGCATGAAGTGATATGTATGGTTTGCATGAAAGTGACTGGCTCGAAACACTACCACACTGCTTCTAATGAGTGACTGGGGAGAAAAATGAAGATGTTAACACCATTCCAGAAGACAACATAAACACACACAAGGGACAACAGAACACGTAAGAAAAAAAATGAACAAAACAAACAAGCAATCACCAGTATCTTTCAGTGTTTCTTTTTTGAGTGCTTCAGATGCAAACGTAACACATGCCTTCACCACGCATCCAAAGAAAGCCATCTACTTGAAATGCGTACTGTTAGTGCTTTTTAAAAAGACACTAGCGAGCCACCAATAGTATGACGAAGAGCTTGACACTACGTGAAGAGTGTGAGTTTGCCAGGTCGTGACTATGCGAAATGCAAACACAACATGCACGAAATAGAATGAGTTGAACATGACGCCATACAGAGCTTACACTGGTATCGAAGAAAAACTTTACCATCCTCCGCTGGCGTGAGGGCACGCCAGAATAATTAATATGTACAATCGTCAATAAATACCTTAAGGACAAAACTTTCACTTAGAACACTCATTCCTTAGCCTTTTCTTTTCTTGCAGGCTCTCACTTTCTTTAGAGACAAAAAATAGAAAACGCTACTACAAAGTATCGGACATTAAACTTTGAATAGAAACAAAGCAATAGAAATACGCTAAATAAGTACTAGAGCACTTCGAAAAACTATCAGCAGCATTAAAATCTTTGTATTTCTGGTGCAGCAGATATAAACTCTATTTGTAAATTATTAAAAAGGGGACTATGCGCTAACTAAAGTCACTCGGTGTTTCGGACAAGATGCGGTGCTCAGAAATGCAAAGCAGAAAAACAAAATAAAGAAACAATTATAAACAAGCAGCCAAACTGTAGCATGCTGACGAGCAGGCTGCGGTGTAAAAGAACGAAACTTGACAAAAGCGGTAGGCACCTAAGAAAAAGCAATTGTCGCAAAGAAAGAAAAGAATACCGAGAAAGAAATTGAGCAATAAAGCAAGTCTGAAAAATCGGGATACCAACAGCACACGGCACACACGACAACGTGGACAGCCCGCTTGGTCGTTAGGAATGCAAAGTCATTGTTCACGTGATGTGATGGTGACACGATTGCAGAATGTGGCAACATAGATGAGAAAGAAAACATGAAATTCAATGAAATGAAACCAATGACGTGCACAAAAAAACATGGTAGCGATGATTCAGCGTTGTCTTCTTTCGTTTGTACACATGAATGGGAAACAAAATGTGATGCTGTGAAAGCAGATTTGTTTAGAGGCTCGCGCGGGATGCCGGGCAATGTTTGAGATGACCCTTTGCATGTGATAAGCAGTGAACAAAAAGCTGATCAGGAAGAAAACAAAATTATTTAGGCTGTCCTTAGTGAAGCACTGAACCAACTCAACAGTACAAGTACACTTCATTGGCCTGAACGACACTGTCGAATGTCACTTTCATTTATATTTAAACTATGACACATCAATCGGAGGTGCCACAGGCCCTCAAGGGCTACGGCACATTGAAAACGATACACACAAGAATGATGATCATATCAGGTTCACCGATATCAGAACAAGTGACAAAGGGGAGGTGCAAGCAGAAACAAAATCCTCCCGACATCAGTGGGCAAACGTTCACACTTTTTCATCGAGAAACACAGACACTTCTTGGAGGGGGGTTTCGGGGTGTGCAATTTCGATGACAGAGTCCCCACAATGAGAAGCTCGAACCTTCCGAGACGACGAGCTTTGCCACAAATGCGAGTCCGCGGAAAGGTCAAGTGCACCAGACAGACTCCTACCAAAGGTTATCGCTACCACCTACACAATGTAACTGCCACCTGCCTCTCTCTAAGTTACTTAGTACGAAGACTGCAAAAAGGTGACATCGTAGCACTATAGTTTCTTGTTACACACAAAACAAGGGGAAGAAGGAGAACACTGGAGAAGTACACTATATGTGGTAACTTTTACAACTTTTTTTTTTCTCTTTTGTGTCGGTTCATCGATCGCGCTTTTTTTCTCGCGTTTCGTCTTGTATCTAGTAAAAGCTGACACTGCGTAGTAACAGTGCCGAACGATATGCACAGAGGAACATTTTTTTTTCCCCGAGGCTCTTCGGCTAGAACCTGCAAGGACGCTGCGCTGTCAACGCAATGCTTCCATTCGATCAATGCCAACCTTCTGCATTGCAAAGGGTGCGTGAGCATCTCAAACACACTGCCTTCCTATCGGGCCGGTTAACTCTTCTTGACCTGCTTGTTTAAGAATGTCGTGCCAACTTGGAGGGCAAACTTGGAGAGAGATAGCTTGGAGGGATCGTGAACAGCACTTTGACACGTTATTCCGAAGACTACACCTGAACTCGCCCCCATACTTTCCTGCAAACTGGCGGTTGGAAAGCATATGGGCATCGACACTTGCTGTGCAAGCAGTGTGATACCTCTTTTCATCCTTCTAGAGCTTTGCTGCTACTCAGGATTACACAGAGGTGAAACCGAATTTCATTTTGTTCGCTACTGGGTTTCAATTTGAAAAGCGTAAGAAGTGTGGGAAATTTTCTTATTGCGTCAGTATGCCCTGTGGCACCACTACAGATAACACAAAACTGCGCAACAGCGATTCCTCCACGAAGTTCAGGAGGGACCTACGATTCTGGTTGTATATGCATCGCTGCAAATGAGGTGGCCTTGTGAGCTAAGGCGTTGCTTTTGAACACTATGCACGTAGCTGAACCCAAAAAATGCTTAGTCATCTCAACGAATAAATTATGTGGCGATGCACCTTGGGTGCCTTATGCCTTCGGAGTTGACTCAACGAAGTCCAATGCACACACTGCTTGCCAACAGGCGTGCTAGCACATCTTCCACCGAACAAGCAACTCATACGACCGTCCGTGAAGGTGGCATCTTATGCCACTCCTTAAGCAGAGAGCCGAACCGGTTTCCTTCTCACCCCATCCCACTTGCGGTCTCGACTAACGCTCCGCGTCAAACAGTCCGCCGTAAAACAACCACAGCCTGGAAAGAAAGGGGAAAACACCTGTCTTTGCCGGAAAACAACTCGTCGCCCTTCCCACTGAGGTAATCGTGTTTACTGAGGTACCGGTGCGATAGAGATGTATTCGTCAACTGCTACAGTGACAATGCTCTGGCGTTGGTGCTGCTGCTGCGGCTGCGTGGAGACGAAATGAAATTCGTGCCATGGAGGAGGGTCGGGGGGGGGACAATCCTTGTTTGCTCTGTCGTGATGCTGGCAAAGCCGCGCGACCTCTCTCGGAGAGGCTGGAAGGATGGAGGACTGACTGGTGTGGGGAGTATAGGGAGCGGGTGAAGAGGGGAGGGGGCAATGTCCTACGTCGAGTTCGAGACTGGCGTCTCGCAGGGGGTTGTCGTGGACGAAGATAGGGACAAGTCCTCGGCTTCCTCGTTGTCCTCCCGCTCGGTGGCCGAGTCGCGGCCACCGATCGCGGCGTCCAAGCCGTCAGAGGGTCGTGGCGCCTCGTCACTTCCCAGGTCGTCTTCGAGCACGGAGCCCGTGACCAGTTGGTCGGGAGTGGCCTCCATGGGTTCCTCCAGGTCACTGCTGGGCTCTTCTACCACTGGTTCCTGCTTGATGTGGACGCCATTGCTGCGAGGTAGAGACACAGTGAGCTATGCTTCTAGTGTCAACAACACACGGTAACACACGTCTATCAAAGCCCAATCATATACCTACATTCAGTGTATATTATGCTGACATGGACTGTGTACAATTGTCAAGATGGTGTACACATGTACCACGTGTAGTAATGAAGTATAGTAGTGTACAAAGTGCAAGTCATAGAAATGTCAGCTCGCTTACAGCTGGTGACGACATCCAGCTGACAGATGTCTATCAGAATTTCTATCGGGTCCATAACATCTTCAATATCCAACGAATTACTACAATCGCATCGAGCGAAGGAAGCTAATGGCTATGCAGCTACAGCATTCTCACTGCTCATGTTGAAACCATATTAACTTTATACAACATTACCATTATTTAAATGAGAATGGCACGAATATTAGGCTGGAACATGGGCAATGACTAAGAGGTGCAAAACGGGCCCCTAACCCCAACCTCCAAGCCACACCAGCAGTAACAAAAACCGTCCAGCACTACCCCTCCCCCCTCTGTTTCACTCAACCCCGCAAGCTGCGACATGGGTTTCCACCCCTGACACAAAAATGCAGCTGATGCCCATGGCTGGGGAAGTGAACACTCCAGTTGTGGCATAATGAAGTGGGTAGCAGCAAGACTGACCTGGTGAGTCTCTCCCCCGCGAGTCCCTGGCCGAGCATGCCGGCGACGAATCGCTCCGCAGCTGCGGCGTCCCCGTGGAGCTGTGGGGCGGCGGGCAGCAGCCCGCCTGAGGAGACTACCGGGCTGCTGAGGGGTCCGTTGCCTGCGCTCGGCGGCCGAGCCCCGGGCATGACTACGCCACCCGCAATGGACGCCGCCGTGCTCACCGCCGTGCCGGAAATAGCTGCACTGAGGAATGACAGGTTGCTCTCGGCCAGCGCTGCCTGCAAACAGAGATGACAGACGTGGCACATTTATTAGTCACTGCACTTTAACGTAAACAGAGAAAGGTAATAGGTACAGTTTATTTTATCGTTGATATAATCATAATATCTGCCATAGCGGGCATAGGCTTAGCCAAAAATGAAGTATTGGAGATGTTCAAAATCTCCATTCTTTAAGTTGTTGTATATGCATATGCACATGCACACACACGTAGGGATAGGGTCCATCTCCACTGATAAAAGTTCTGGCAATGCCCCTCTGTGGAGGGCACCATATGAATTAAAGCGAATTATAACACTCAAAGTCATATGTATGCATGGTACATGAATGGCAGCATGCGAATTACGGCGAACCGACAGTGCCAAGAAAAAACGTGCAGGTGAACCATACAAGTCATGCAACCTTTCAATATCGCCCAAGTTTCTGCTGTTCTAAACTGCATATGATTTCGCCATTTTGGCATAGTACCCACCCGGTGCTTTATATTGCGTGTTCACTCTAGCTCGTGAATCAGCACATCAAACGCAAAAAGAAACCACGACGCTGAGACAGCAGTATGCCGCAACGAAGCACACTGAGCCATTGGCAATGGCCAGCGGATACGCTCTTATCGGAACAAGCGTCTTACCTCAGCAAAACGTAAGCCAAGGTGTAAATGTATTGCTAGAATGGTGCCCTCCTCACACCCCCTCACGCCCTCTTTGTTTATCTGGATCGATGCTACGGCCGAGCAATGCATTGTACCTGATATATTGAACCTGGTAAGACACATGCACGTCATTCGTGCTTGGTACCCTCGATCATATTCATGTGTGATTGCTGTGCACATCAGGTTATATGTGTTATCTTTTATTTATGTACAAGGAAATACTATTATGCTTCGGAAAAAAGATAAGCTTCAAAGGCGATATCCCACTTGCATTGCAATAACAAGGTATTCCCCTCTTGATAACATTTATACTGCTCGACGGCGTTTCAGTCTTCCTCATATTGGGGGAACTTCGTATCGCATTAAACATATTAAATATCTGAGTAGTTTGTCTTCATACAGCAATGTATCGACTGAAGTTCATATAATGCATAACTACTAAAGCTTTTTTACAGACAGAAAGGCCGTTTAATGCACCTTTGTAATGCAATATGCAGGACCCAAAATTTTCACAGCTTTGCTGCAAATGCAAAGCAATGAATGCGATAGCAACAAATCGGAAATGTCACTCGAATAATGACAAGCAGATTGAAACGTGCCGCGCATTGCTCACTGCACAAGTTTTGCAAGAAATGTACTCACTGGTACAAATGAACGCGAATAAGTGTCTCAGTTGCTACTTTGCCGTGTCTGAAAAGCGCGTTGTTTTCGCAAACGGACACTGTGCAGCAAGTTCAGTGACCTTTGTGCACTCGGTAACTACAACAAAATCATTTTGATAAAAGCCCATGGCTTACGATTCTTTCCATCGCGAAATAAGAGCCCCATGCGTGAGAGTCTACCTCGCCCCCTCTGTGGGGCAAAGTACGTGTGGGAGATGAACGCATGCGGGTGCGTCGCCTCGTTGTGACGATCTGGTGACGCGCGCTCACTGTGCCGTCTCACTGGTAATGCTGAAAACACGATAGTGCCCCCGAGATAGGTATCACCAGGGATAAGCACTGATGTTCCATGCAGGAAATTTTCTCCTTTTCGGGGAAATTCCAGCCCTCATTTTGGATGAAAGGGAAAAAGGGAATCTTTGTGATCTTACAGGGAATTGCGGATATGGTTCAATTCACAAATGAGGGCTCATTGCAGACAGAGTGTGCGTTCGGCTCCCACAATCTGTTTTAGCAAACGCAGCATGCAGGCATAGCCCTTGAGATTAGCTTCATATTTATGCGAGTCATGTGCTAGTTCACGTCTGGCATGGACTCCTAGCCCACTTTTTGCAATGTACTCACAGCACATTAGTTTGAAATATCACGCTTTTGTTATGCAGGAGCACACACACTAGTCTTGATTTTATAGTGACAAACACTGCACACATATGCATTTATATATGTGTGTGTTATATATCCAAATATTACAACTAATGAGCAGGGAAATGTGCTGGGAATTCGGTCAGAGTATGCAAGGAAAAATGACCAGAATAGGAATTTTTCATGTCTTGAAATGGGAACTCTTCAGCGTAGTACGGGACATCACTGGCGGTAAGTGGGATATATAAATAGCTTGCCATTCCAACATTAAAGGAAGTGGTCCTTCATGGCTTAGTGGCTAATTCCACGCACTCACAAGAGCTCGGACGTTCTATTGCGCGAGCCGGAGACTTTTTTCTGGATTATTTTTTTCTATCATTTCATATATATATCATTTCTATATATATAGATACGTATACATATATGGCCAATGATGGCTGACGTCTGGGGCAAGATCTAGCCTAAGTGTCCATATGAATGCTATCGCAATAAAAGGTAATAAATTTCGTCATATGTACTTTCGTCCGTATAATGTGCTATAGGATTTGATTTTGTGTAGCTTTAGTACAAAAACATTAAAAAAACACATGCGATGCTCCACAACGCATAGAAGGCGTAACAGCCACAAAATATTTGTTGTCAATTACGATAATTTTTTTTAACAGCTTGTATACATATATAAGGGCATGCCTGTGAATACTGCGCATGACCCATTTACGTACAGATTACATTTGAAGCAACCCGCTATTTTGAGGGTACTTTCAAAATAGACATAGAGTTTGAAGATAGTGCCGTAACTTGACATGCAATAAATACTTTTGCAAGACAGTGAGAGAAGATAAAAGACTAAGCCTACTCACTTGCAGTGAAGCGTTAAGGGACTCTCCGTACAGACCCGGACTTTGCTGGAGGTTCGGACTACGGACCGATCTCTGTCCTACTTGCTGGGAAGGCACTGGTAGGCCCCTAAGAGATGATAAACATTTGTTTAGCGATAGCTCACCCTACGCCTGAACATGAACACACTGAAGGCAAGTACGCTTGATGCATGCATCTCAATACAAAACAATGACTGAAAAGGAATGACTGCAGTGAAGTTTCAGTACACAATAAACTGATATATAGTTGCTTATAACTGGCTACTTTGACGGAAAATGTCCTTTCCTTAACACTCCTCGGTACCTCCCTTAAAGTAATGTACACTGAGCTGACGTACTGCTCTTGACGCATTATAAAGATACTATACGGGAGGTGAGCAAATTCAACGAGTGTGTCACCAATGCCCAGTATTCTTTCTAGTTTTATGCCGGTTGTTATGTTGGAATGTAATACTCATTTCCCAATAAGTCGAAATTATCGTGCATGAGGGATAGCGTATTTACACGATTGTAAGACGACCCTTTTTTTCAAATTTGACAATCCAATGTTGGGGGGTCGTCTTAGAATCGAAATCGAACCATGTACCTTAGAATCGAAATCGAACCATGTATTGTCATCTCGAATAGTTTCCCGCTCAACCCAAAGCGCATAGTTTTCCGCGTGCTTATACAAAAGCTTTTCTTTTTTTAGCATCTACTGCGCGCATTACGAGTGCCTTTATGACGAGCGCACGGCCCTTGAGGGAGCACCGGTAATCGATGGAAGAGCCGCCGTAGGGGGGTACTGGTAGTTGACGGAAGAGCTCCTCTTTGTGATACAATTTTTTAAGCGGGCGCATCGCCGCGTGCTCCTGTCGCTTGTGTCCACGACCGGCTCTCTCGAGTCACTTCTGTCTGACATGAGTGCCGTAGGCTCGAAGAACACTCGGCGCTCGTTTACGGCAGCGTTTAAGCGGGCTGCTATTCTTCATGCGGAGGAAACCAACAACTGTGCAGCAGGACGGAAGTTCGGAATCGGTGAATGTGTGGTGCGGAAGTGGCGGCTTCAGCGCGAGGAAATTTTCTCGTGCGACTCCAAGCGCCGTGGCTTTCGCGGGCCGAAGTCTGGCCGCTTTTCGGAACCAGAGGCGAAGCTTGCGGCCTACTCACACTTGACGACGACGTGCTGTGGGACTGCAGCAGCAATGACGGCAGCAGCACCAGCACCAGCGAGGACGACTCCAGCGACGATGAATAATCCTCCGCAACCACGTGAATAAATTTCCCTTGTGTAAAATGCACGAGTTCTTTTTTTTTTTTTTTTGAGATGCGATTTTGGGGGGGTCGTCTTACATTCGAGTCGTCTTACAATCGTGTAAATACGGTATATCGCTTTAAAGTCTGATACCACTACTCAATGCATTTTAACAAGATATTTTCATTAAATCATGAGATATTCAAGTTTTAAAGCATAATTTCACATAGCTAAGATAGTTCTGACTGTCCTTGTACGTGTTGGCATCAGCACATTATAGTGTACCAACTTCAAATATGGTTTACTAGATTACAATTTCACAATTACACATACGAAACAGCAATGTGCAATTACATAAGCAAGATATACATTCAAGATAAAAGATAATCATGCAATTTACAGCACCACTACATGTATCTACATTAGCTAGGTATAGACTACTACTACTACTACTACTACTACTACTACTACTACTACTACTACTACTACTACTACTTGTATATCCTATTTCCGGCTACAGAGGTTCTAATGGTTGTAAAACCTATGGTTTTCTGTATCTACATGGTTTATAAACAAATCGCTTGAGCGCTACCATGTGCATTTCATTCTGTCAGAAGACTCAATTTTTATGTTTGTTTTTGGTCATACAGACCACAAACGCTGCCTTAAGCAGGCACGAAGTTGAATTTATTGATTACCACGATTATCGCAGTCATTGCCAACAAAACGAAGTGCATGGTATGACGGTCAAGAAAAACTACATATATATACAACACATGAAACAGACAAACATTGATAAGGATTGCATCAGTGACTACTCAAAACTTGCTTCAACAAAACTTAGGAAGATAGGTGAAAATGAAAAGTTTCCAAGATTGAGCAGGGGACAGGGGAATATTTTGCACTAAGGATGTCATGCTCGACGGATGGCATGCAAGGTTGCCAGGAGAGCCTATAGGCAGACATAAAAAGATGAAGTGTTCTAGCATCGGCTCCACTCGGCTTTTTAAAATCTTTTTTCTACCAAGACCTCGGACACGTTTAGGCAGCTAATGATGCATGTCGTACTGTTCTGTGCGAGATATACGACATTCTAAGTGCGCTGTCAAAGAAAAGGCTGGGCTTAGTCACAAGAATCTTTCGTGCAAACAAGCAAAGCTGTTGGCCGTTTTTAATTTGTCATCCATTCAGCTGCCATTTTGCCCACTTATATGCTTTTTCGTCCATTCAGGTGCAGAGTTCTTGAAGTGCAATTGCATACTCAAGACACACTGCCTAGACATGAACAAACATGGCAACTTTTGCGATGTTGGCTGACCATATTTCTTGAATCCGCAATCATACTGTTAATCAAATTCAGGCTGAAATTATATTGAAGACTTCCAGTCATGGATCCTAATAAGTTGATGTAATGTGCCAACATGCACAAGTGGCAGATAAAAAGACCGTTCTTTTTTCCCGACATCTTTGACAGTGCACTGTGCATCAACTACTCAGCCATCTAAGGCAACGACCTCATTGGTCGGCAGTCCCTCAGTAGCCATCTCGGGCAAGGACTGTCTTCTGATTGGTACAGCCTACGGCTTACTCGGCCAATTGCGGCGGTGCGTTCCGGTAGTCGGCGAATTTCCGGGGACGGCCACGGCTGAGGTGACGCCGCTTAACGAATTCGCGATCGTCCACCATCCAAAACGAGCCGTAGTCGTCCTCGTAACGAACAAAGCACTTATGCAGCGACAAGTTGGTTCTGATAGCATTCTGAGCTCGATGACGTCAGCGGGATAAGTCCGGTTGCCGTGCAAGGTTTACGGGAATCGTTGGGAATAAGGGCGAGAAGGAAGGTGCGAAGAATAGAAGCGGGTCATTTTTTTTTCAAACGGAAAGTGTAATTTGAGTGCAAAGGAAGAGGACAAAGATATTAACGAAAATAAATTGTGAAGAAGATGAGCAAGAAGCAATACGCAACGAAAATGTAATGGATGATACATTTGAAGAAGCAAAGTAACATTTAAGGACAAGAGTGCGAAACAGCCAAAGTTTCGAATTCACGGGTGTGAAATAAGCAAATAATATATTATATGATGACAAAAAGCGCAAATTATAAATGAAGCATGACGCTCAAGTTTTGAGGTAGTCACCGATGGTTGATACACCCATTTATCATTTACAAAAAAATGGACGCAGGGAACATGAAAAAGAAGCCATGCGTGGTATGCAGAAAAGCATAAACATGAAATTTCCAATGAATCGGCGATTTGGCACAGTTTGCAAAAAAAAAAAAAAATGAAATGAAAAGATAATGAGACATGCAAGCGGAACCCAAAGTGAATGAACAGGAGAGACAGAATGATGCAAGAAACAGGCAATAAAGCAACACAGAAAGAGATACAAGAAGATAGAGGCAACTCAGCATAAGACAGAGTGTAGCGGAGCATGGTGGATCAGTGGAAGGGCAGAAAAATGAAGATGAATGTGTGGAAACATAACAGAACGAAATGCAGGAAGAAAGGGGAGGGGAAAGAGAAGAGAGAGAGAGAAAGAGGAACTTGTTAAACAACCAAGACAGGCATGAGAGTTGAACAAAGCATCCGCCTGATCGTGCCCATTCATCGGTTGTTGCTCAAGTACGAAGTATGGCCAAAGTGAATGTCATGAAATTTTCCCTTCTAGTTGAAAATTACATGCAGCAGATTTCACCGTGAGCATCAAGCAGTGTTGGATATGCCACGCACTAACGTGATGCAGCATAATTAAGGCCAGATGATGAAAAATTCCTTTGTGGTTGCCTTCTTTTGGTCAACTTTGTTGCCTTTCGTGGCTACCTTGCAGTAACCTTTAGCAAGCTCAACCACGAAAATATGCACGATCAAGCGGAACAAAGCATGAACACAGAGGCAAGTAAGTACAGGCGAAGCAGTGTTTGCATGTTGTGCATGGTGCGTTCAAGGCCGGTGAGATTTACCCTGCTATCCGATCTTGGAGTCGCTGGGGCCTACGCTTGTAGAATTCTATTTCGTCCACAGTCCACACAGCCCCTTTAACGTTCTCAACACGCATAAAACATTTGTGTAGGCTCAGGTTGTGTCTCACCGCATTCTACACGAAGGAGGAAAAGAAACGTGTGGCCTTTAGCAACAACAACAACATGGTTCACGAAGAACTAAAATGCCTTCTCAGGAGCAAAAGTGGACTCTTCCTAATAGCATGCATTGTTGCCATAATGCTTAAAGAACGTCTGTAATGATAAGGCAACATTCGCAACGTTGTGACAACGTTGCGTCAACAACTGGTGCTACTAAGATAATGACGATACACTGCTGGTGATAATCAAGGATGACATTTCTTTCTTGTAAGCTGTCTCTAAGAATAAACATTGATCAGCTAACTAGACCCAATTTTAACTATAAACTGTCCGATTCCAAAACTATACAAAATTTATTTTAAAGAAGCTTTTTGAAAACTTATTCCTTGCAAGATGTCACCTAACTGCTGATTATATTCTCTATCAGTGCAAAAATTGTGAGACAGCTTCCAGAATAAGTAATTGTACTGCTACACGATAATTCGACATAGCCAGCTAAGGAAGGCTTCGCCACTTTTATGCAGGCAGCGCTGCCTTTTCATTGCGAATATTTTCTTTTTGACATAAACTAAGAATAAACAAAATACAAGAAACGACGACTACATAGGAGCCAGAATAAAGAAAGCAACGAAAGATAGCCCCTGTGAACATTGTGGCATTTCACAAGAAAAGCAAACATGTAGCAAATATTTAGCTTAGCCAAGTTTTAAGAAATAGTCAAACAACATTCACGTTGAAGGTAACCTAGAGTTAAGTCAAATTTAGGCTTCTGCATGACAGCAGAACGTTGCTGCATAAAACAAACTTCAAAAGACTAGAACAAGACAACTATTTGTTTGGTGTTACGCCTAATGTAGCTATGACAGCCAGCTAGGCACCCGAAAGAATTCATCATGTCGGAAACATAATTTGCCTAAAGAATGAACGTGTAACAATCCCAAAATGCCAAACATTGATAACTAGTGCCCCCACTGTAGGCAAACACTTGGATTTGTGACAACCCAAACTAGTTCATTGACAATATCTCGGGTAACAAAAAGCCCTGGCAGAGCAAGTCTCCATTACCTTCCAAGTTGCAGCATTCCTACGGAAGTAGCAGAAGGTATTCTGGAACCAGTTGTAGATCTCATTCAGCGTTAACTGCTTATCAGGAGATTCAATTATGGCCTGAAATGAATAAGAAATGGAATGCATGCTCAACTCATTGAAGTTTACATTTAAAACTGACTAGGGTGAGTTATAGGAAGTATGCAGCACCAGCTTACACTGTTTTTCTGTAAAGCCCTTAATTCAAAATGACCAAAAATAGTTCAATGCACATTACCACAGAAATAATTTCCTAAATTATGCATTACCAATTATTTTGCAATAGCTTGTCCGTATGCTCCAGTCATGACACACTTGTGAAAATTCCCAAACACATGACATTAGATGCATTTTATGAAAGAAGTTCATTTCTGCCTGAACAAATATTAAATCAGGAATCGTTAAGCGTATTATAAATCGCCCTTCTCGGCATATCATGTGTCACACAGTAGCATACCACACAGTGACACTGATAATACAGAGAGTGAATGGTTGCGCATGATTAGATCATACTGCACCGAACAAATTTTTTGTTAAGCAACCTCACCTGCCGAATGAGAGAGGCATATGTGAAGGGAGGCCGAACGTCCGCAGACTTGTAAAACTCTCGATTTCGCTGGATCTCTGTCGAAAGATATAGAAACAACAGGGATATGAATTGCCACGCGTCGACTAGATGTACACGTACATGTCCACCTGACAAGTCGAGAGAACATATTGACAGAAATACTAGAGCAAATCACCAATCGTGCAAGAAATTACGTAAGAAAATCTGTTGGAAGGAAGGCGTAACGGGTACTGAACATTGCACGATATTAGAATGATGTTCAGGGCCGATGTTTACTCCAGCAACCTTTGTCGGGCGACCAAGATTCGCAGCCTTCCATGCGGAATTGAAAGTGTTGATAATTAACTGTAGGCTAAGTGGCAAAACATTAAGAATGTAATTATACTGATATAAATTACACACCTATAGCTAATTATCTTTAGGCAGCTATGATGAGTATACAAGTGTAGACATATTGTATTTTTTGTATAGAATATAAGAACAATGACTTGGTGGCCCTTAAGGTAGGACTCCAGATAAGGTTTTTGGAAAATAAACATATACGGAGTTTCACGTGAGCAGAAATATTTGTGACATACCTTCAGTGATATCCAAGTTAGCTCTCTCCGCAACCCTTCGTCGTATGGGTGAGTCGGGTAATGATGCGATTTCCATACCTGCGCAACACAGAGAAAAAACATTGCTGACACTTGCCTGCAGGTGAACAAGCACTCGCTGACAAACTTGACTTACAGAGAATCTTAGGACAGACATTCTAGCACAGCTGAACTTCTAGCTCCCACAGATATATACCAAGTGTCATACTACGTATACATAAAAAAAACGTGTTTGAATAAACAGAATTTCAGCGGAATAGTTCAGCTTGATCTGAAGAGTTGGTGCACTTATTAGTAGTACAAATGCAAAAAATATCGCTTATAATGAATTACATAAACAATTACCTTATGTCATTCGCCAACCTAAGATATGTATATAGTGAATACCGAAAAGAGTGAGGGTAATTTCGTGCCATGGTTTATTGCGAACCTCGATTTAGACAACATTGTTATAAAGCATAACTGAGAATGAAGAGAGGTACAGGCCACCGATTTCACTTTTAAACATCTTAACCAGATCTTAGTGAGGGTACAATGTAGTTGACTATAACAAACTTTGACTTTAAGATTTTATGAATAAGTGTTGCTTTTCAACAATGTGCATAACATTTCTGATGGATGGCAAACAGCTGCATTCAGTTCAAATGTGGTTTCTTATAACTAATGGCAGTGTAGTTCGTTACAACGTGCACAGGCTCTAAGAGTACGTGTGCATCGCAATACTACCATATTTATGCCATGGTCTGGAACACCGGCCAAATGAGGCCCTTTTGTCGGTGGGCCCAAACATATCCGTAGATATTAGGCAGCTGAGCTAAGCCAAAATATACTTCGTTACACCATATTTTGTTAGAGCGAGCTTCAATTGTAAGATTGTTGAAATGCAGTGGTGCAACTAGGTTTGCGTCCGACTCTTGGGCAGCACAAACCCCAGCCAAGCCTTCTTAGGCATGCTGCCCATACCCCTGAGCATGTATGATAGACATCAGGCAGAGCTGACATCAGGGGGTGGAAGCGGGCTTCCGTCTTTTGGAGCAACTTTGGGAGCAGGAATAATACGGTTTTGGAGCAGCTTTGGAGCAGTAACGGGGAAATTTTGGAGCAGCTCTGGAGCACCAAAAGGCGTGTTTTGGAGCATCAAAATTTATTTTTGGAGCAGACTTTTCGGGTCACACATGACTGTTAATTAGAATTTTTGCTTTCTCATATACACAGAAAAATTCAGCGGTTTTTTCTAAGCATTCAATGCTGATCAAGTGAGCAGACTTACCACAAAAAAAAAAAAAAAAAACATACCGCATACAAAACTAATATGGCTATATAAAAATAAACGTAGAAAACTTGTGTTCCGGTCATTGAAGTGCCACAACCGATATCAGAACCGCGAAAAACAAAAAAAAAAGAGAACCGCGAACAAATTTATATGGGGTCGCCGCGCCATTGCTAAGCAATTAAGTGAATTTTTTTTATTATAATAGGAACTATAAAACATTCGACGGGTTTTCGCGGTCTCCATTATGTTCCCCATAAACTACAACATTCTCCGCGCATCGCAGGTTCTACCGGTGCGTAAAATGAGCGGTGCTCAAGCAGAGATTAAGATAACGCATGGGCTCGAGGGCACGCGATAGCGTCCTACCACGTGTTAGGCCTGCCGTCGAATGCTCAAGCAGAGAGGAAACATGCTGTCCGTTTTGAACGAACGAGCGAGCGTGGAAGGACGCGTGGGAAAGAAGGGGGGTCACTCGAGCTGCAACGTTGAACTTTGATTTCAAGGGCGTGGTTGCGCTAGCTGGCACTATCGGCAAGCATCAGCGCACAGCTCGTAAACCCGTTCTACATGGTGCCCTCTCAACGGGAAGAGATTGTCTGATAACAGCAATTCTCCCTGGAGCGGCTGTACTTAATATCTTATACCAGTGTTTCGTGGAGTTTCGCGATGTCGTGTCCAAAAGAGTTAGCCGTCAGCTGCAGCCTTCCTACTGTCACAGAGTCGTGGTGTTGGCGAAGGCAGCCACTGCTGTTTTCATGAGTGAACTTCTTATTTGGGCGAACCTGTGCCCGAAAACAAGACGTCACTATGCAAGCAATGCACGCTGTAGGCTGACAGCAGCGAACATAGAGCGTTGTCCGTCGATAGTCTGCCAAGCAGCAAAGTGCGTCGGCATTTATACATGTGCCATCGAAGACTCCAGCGTTATCGCTAGCGGCTGCGTAAGTTCCAGGAACTCTGATGTACGCGTTTTGCGAAAATGTCATCGGAAGGTTCCAAGATCATCTAGATTGTTCCCAGCCATTCGGGCGTGGTTTGTGCACGGCAGCTTTACACGCGTAATGGTGCAGTAGAAAAAAAAAATAATGGAGCACGTGCGGTAATACCATAAAAACATTACGAATTCTTGCTAATGCAATCATCGCTTCACTGGTGAAGCTAATTTTTATTTCTTTCAGTTTATATGGTTCAGCTAACAGCTTTGCTGTTAAAACATATATAGAGCCGCATAATGAGGGATGCACACAAACGCCACCTTAACAATATTCATGCATGAACCCAAATACAACGTGACCGAACCAATTTGATCTGGACGCGGTTGCATCTTTTGTGTACCCCACACGTGTTGCTCGGTCGATGATAAAAAATCGACTAAATTTGGCGTTGCACACGCAAATTGCCGTTTACGCGCAGCTTGGCACAGCAGGTCAGATTGGCGCAGAATGGCGCAAATGGCACTTCCACCCCTGCTGACATCAGCTGGTGGGCAGTTGGCTATAACAAATTTCTATTCAGACATTACGTCTACGTTAAATAGCTTGCAAATCAGTGTGGCATACTGGAACACCAACGTAGTCATGCTTTGTTCACCAGTGCTTCAGTCATATCTGACAGCCATTAAACAGTTAAACCGAGGGAAAACTTTCATTATTACATAGTTTCCGCTGCACGTACATTAGATCATCGACTCAGTTCTCTGGGACACGCAACCCTGCCAAGCATTTCAAGGTTTTCTTCTCTAAGCTTGTAGCACAGCTAAAAGACACTAAACAAGAGCTGCGGCGATTTGAAACTTCTTTCGGTATAAGCTTGATAAGCTAATTTTGACCACTGTACCTCATGCGCGGCACGTGGAACATAGTGGAAAGACGTGGTGCACACGTACCCGACAGCGGAGACACGCCCTTGTCGCTCAGCCTGCGCCGAATGGGACCCGAGCCCGGCGCCTGGGTGGAGGAAGGCAGCCCGAGCAGCCGACTCGTCATGAGCGGGCTGCTCATCGCCAGGGGCGGCGGGCTCGGGCTGATGGGCAGCAGCGCCTGAGGTGAGGACGTCGCTGGCTTGGGAGTGGACGACAACAGCTGCAGGCACACAGACGAGGAGGGAGGGGAGCAGCTCGCAAAAGGCTGCCGAAAAAAGACTCGCACGCGTCAGTCACGGGCCTGCTGAACGCTACCTCCCCGCAGTGCAGGCCTTTGTGCAAGAGCTGCCGCTATACAGGAGGAACGCGTACACAGTATGCCACACACAGTGAAACCTCCATATAACGAACATGAACACAGGAAACTATCGGTTACAACAAAGTAAGTGGCGAATAACGTCCCTTTATTACAGGGGAGTAACATACGTTTATGTAACAAATTTTTCGATATAATGAAATTATATTCATGTCTAATGCGACTATTATAAGGAGGTTTGACTGTACACACATAAACATAAAAAAACGAACTCAAAGAATGCTTCATCCTAGAACTGATTGTTTTAAACTTCCCCGTGTCCCAAAGAATCTCAGAGAATTGCGCATTACATACTTTAGCCAAGCTTTAACGGAAACAAAACTTATTTATGAAGAAATAAGGAGACTAGTCTAAAAAAATACAGGCATATAATGTTTACTTGTAGCATGGTTCACATAGGGGAACGTTAGCTGCTATTAGGTTGAGCGAGGCTGAGAGGTCAGGCTGAAGAGACCACGTGTGAGTCTCGTCGCATAAATTTTCCGAAAGAAAGGATGAATACGTAAATAGATATACTATGAGTATGTAACTTAATCATCATAGTGTACCAATATTGTACCTGGATGCACTGCATGAGAACGAAAGAAAGAAAAAGACACAAGGTACCCCCCCCCCCCTCCTGCACCCTTACACTCGGTCTTGCAATGTAGTAGTTAGTATTTTATCTAGAAATGTAAATGAGCATGAATCGTCTCGGATGTTAAGCTGCTCCTTTTCCTTTGCCATTACCTCTAGCAAATAGTGCCATTGATAAGTGGAGCAAATACAGGTAACAAATGAAACTAAAGGCACGGATTAGCAAAAAAGAAAATGAAACTAACCACACAGGATAAGAAACACAAATCATCTGCACAGAATATAAACTGTGTGACAAGAACGAAAATACAAGATTAAAAGACGTAATAACTACAAAAACATAGCAGTAACTTAAAAAAAGAATATGTTGCAAAGGAATTTCGGCACTTCCCGAGAAAGTCCCTCCTGCCGATACATAAGGCTAAAGTGGCAGCAAATAACCGCAGAAACTAAGCGCGGAGAAAGGCACTCACCGAATCCTTGTTGCCAGAGCCAGATGGGCTGCCAGTTGGGCGGCTTCATGTGAAGGTGCGCCATCATGGACTGGAGCCGGTCTCGCTCCTTGTCGAGCTGCAGTTCCAGCTGGGACACTACCTGCATCTGTACCCTGGCTTGCGCTGTGCTTCGATCATCCAGCTGGTGTTCAGTGTTCAAGTGTCTGCAAGGCGCAATGTGGAAGACAGAAGAACCATTCTCATCAATTCCATGTCTTCGCAACTCTGCAAGTTGCCAATGCACTCGAGCCCACTCAGGTCGTTCACAGGAGGATGGGTGACTAGGCTGAATAAGTGCATTGCAATAAACAATAGTCGTGACAATCTTAGCTGGTGTTGTTTATCTTCTGACTGATAGATTCGTGTATGTGTAGCAGTGTGAATTGATATGTAACATCGTGGGCGGTATAGCTCGACAAAGTGAGGGCGTGGCAAATGGCCTCAAAACCGAGATAGCGTGATAGGAGGATGGCACTGCCGAAACCGGAGCGAAAAGGAGAGGTGCTCTTCCACTGTCTGTTGGCACTCCCGCATCCCTAGTATTGGGGTCAAACAGCAGATGATTGCCCACAATCTGCCATTAGCGATGCTAAGGCGAAGAAAAATCCACGATAAACAAACTAAATGAAAGACTTGTATCAAAATGCGCAGCCAACACCATCTACACAGTAATAGACGCATCGCATTACCGCAGCCTATGCCAGAGCCGATATCTCCGAAGCTCCATGGCCTGATGGGTGATTGGTTCTGGCTGTGCACGTTATGCAAGTTGATATCGCCCCTGGCAGCCCCTAAGGTGTTATCAGCCACCATTTTGTAGCAACCATACCGAGGCGAGGCGGGAGTGTCAACAGATACCAGAAGGCCACCACCATTTTCGCTTAGCTTCTGACGACCACCACCCTTTTTTGCTTAGCTTCTGACAACGGCCGCCGCAAATCAGCCGATGTAGGGTGCGAGGCTATTCGCCACGCCGCGCACTCGCGTGTGAAAACTACTATTGCTCGCGATAGTACACTGCTTCAGTTTAGAGAAATTTCAAGAGGCTAGAAAAAAAAAAGGGCACCAAGAATTAGGTAGAACAACCAGTACAAAACCATACACCCAGAACTTGTCATGCTCCGAGCGGCAGTCCATTCAGCTCAAGCCGAGAGACAGAGAAAAAGGTACAAATCTCAAGTAGCCACAGTTCGGTTGGCTACCTTGCATTACGGATTAGAAAAGAGCACTGAAAAATGTCAGTTTCGCCAAAGGGCGAAGCAATGAATGCGATAGCAACATATTCGAATGTTTTAAGAAGCAAGGCTAGCATTTTTTTGAACAATATAAATTGCAGTAACATGCGCTTGCCAAGTAACAAGCTTCCTGCGGCGCAGCCACTGTAGATGACCACAACAAGGCTCGTGCGTACAGTGACGGCGTTGATATACGAAGTGAGGCTGCAGCAGTAAACTCATTTACATCCGCTCTCACGTAACTCTACAAAACGCTGGTGTAAGAGAACACGGCCGCTCCAGGTAAACTACTGGCACCATCTTTTTCGTGTTGAGAGCCCAGCCCGTCGAAGCTTCCCCGTGCTGTGGTGGCACAAGGCGGGCGCTGATTGCTGTCGCGATGCGCGGCAACCATGAGCGCCCGCCCCCCTCCTCCCTTATTTGCTGGCGAGATAAGCTCGCGCGCAGATGAGCCCGGCCGGAAAGACTGTGCTCGCTCCGCAGAAAGAGGAGGCTAGCGCATCCCCCCCCCCCCCCTCCCGTATCCATCACAATAAAATGAGGAGGAAAGATTGATACCAAGCAAAAGTACACGCACAAAGAGAAGCCTGCGAGCATAGACACGCACAGGGTTCCCCTTCAGGGGGGGGGGAGGTCATCGCAGCACCCCCCCCCTCTATTGCGACCATATATGAAGCTGGCTTTGCACTCATCACCCTCCCAAATCACAGCGCCCTCTCCCTATTGTGTCAATAGGTAGGGCTCACTTTGCGCTCCCCCCCTTCCCTCCTAGGTGACTAGGGGGCATCCCCCCCCCCGTGCGTACACCTACGTGTTCGATTAAGGTTCATTCGCGCAAGAGCTCGCAAAAACTTGCTTATTTAATAGATCATTAGCCAAAGCATAGTAGGCCCACAGCCGAGAGTCCAACTGAAGATACGCACGGGGCCAGGGTCAAATCAAACGACCGACGTCAAACCCGACTCACTTTACAAAGGCCTGGTAGTCTTCACACTCGGCGTCGCACCCCGGCCACTTGCAGACGCCGTGGCCGTAGAGTGCGTGCCCGTTGTTGGCACCACTGGCACCGGAAGACCTCTCCTCCTTCCCCAACTGCTGCTGGAACGTGGACGGCGACGAAGACGCGGAGCCCGTCTCACTGGGCCCGTGGCACAGGGAGCCCATCGAGGCGGAGTGTTGCTGCTGCTGCTGCTGTTGCTGAAGCTGCTGCTGCTGCTGTTGGTGGGACGACTGGAGTCCCTGGAGGGCGCTCTGCAGAACCGTGTTGTTGCCGTTGACAAGCCGCGCAGCCGAGGACTGCTGCGTGGTGGGCGGATGCTGCGCCGTGGGCATGCCCAGAGGCGGCCCCGGGGGCCCATGCTGCTGCTGCTGTTGAGACTGCTGTTGCTGCTGTTGAGCAGCGACTGCGGCGGCGGCGGCTGCCGAGCCCAGGAGGCCGTTGAGGCCCTTGAGCGGCCCGCCGTCGACGTCTAGGCTCGAGGCGACGCCGTCCTTCCAGAGCCCTTGCAGGTCTGTGTTCAGGGCTGCAGCCGAAGCGCTGTTGTTAGCGCGCATTCTATCAACGTCACTCATGCGTGCATTATGATAACTATGCACTGACGCAATCGACAATGCAATTCCGTCGAAGCCAGCGTCATACAAAGGTTGCGTTCATCTCGGTCTGCATATCTTCAAGCGCACAGTAGAAGAAGCGAATGGCACAACAATATGGCATATGATTACTTCAAGAAATAACTTGAGAGCTGAGCTGGTTGGTAAGTATTTTGCCGAAAAGACGGGGCATGCAAACACGCACACAAGAGAGATTTCAAGACTTCCCTCTTGTGCCCGTGATTGCTTAGTCAAGTAAACATATTTACTTCACGTGCGTACTCCATAAACAGATTCGCGATAGCGAACAACATCAGGGCGGCGAAGTTCGGAAATGAACGATACAATGCAGGGCCAGATATGGATAGAGAACCATGTCTGGCCTTGTAAATGTTCAATTGTTGCAATTTCTTGCAATAATAAAATGGCCACAGCGCCTTCAGCTTGTTGACTACTGACAACTAGAATCTAACAATACTGTAATCTATGACTGGTGTCACGCAGAAGTATCTTTTCTTGAGCCCTTTATCAAGATGGCACATATCTTTAGTAAAGAAAAAAAAAACATCTTGCGGCGAAGTTGTTTTCTTTATAAGCGGAACTTATGCGACATTCTTCGGGGTACAATATGCCAGTTGACGGTGCTATTTTAAAGAATTTGTACAAAACTAGTGCAGTTCGTACAAATCATCAGCTAACGTTGCCGTTTCAAGCAGCCTATACAAAATAAGCAGAGTTCGGACGGAATGCCAGCTAACGTCACCAATTAGAAGCAGTTTGTACAAAATTGGTGCAGTTTGTCAAAATGTCAGCTGGCATTGCCAACTGAGAGACCTTCCCCATTTCTGATATTTTCGTATCTGATTATCTTAAGAGGTCTCGGCACCATCGGACCTACGTCGTATTGATACCGATATATAAAATCACTAAAAAGTCGGTTTGGCCAAAAAGGCGAAGCAACGAATGCGATATAGCAACATATTCGAATGTTTTACGAAGCAAGACTAGCATTTTTAGGTGCATTATTAGTTGTAGTAAACAAGCGCTTGCTGAGTAACCAAGTTTCCTGCGGCGGGGCCACAGTAGATGACCACAGTAAGGCTGGTGCGTAGTGACGGCGTTGATGAGAAACGTCTCCCGTGGGCAGCGCATGCTGGTACTAAGGGCTATTCGCCGTGTCTCGCCGCTATAGTGCCACTTTGCTATGTGTAGAGCGCATCTATAAGTTAATGGCCCCTCTACACTTTTGACAACGTTTTTTTTTTGTGTGTGTGTTGATAGCACAGCTCGTAGAAGCTCCCGCCTGCTATGGGGGCAAGAGCCGTGCGCTCATCATTGCCGCGATAGCGCAGCTTATTTATCTACTTATTTATCGCGACCGCTGCCGCTAGGTTGAACAACAGTTCCGCGAAGCTACTACAATGCGATGTGTCATAGCTCGTCACCGATCCCACGGCGTGTCAGAATGCTTTGCTTTTGCGCCCGCGCGCGAAACAGAGACAGTTTTGCGAGACTTTACGTACGAGGAGGTCTGTCAACATCGATGTGTTTCCTTCGCTTTCACTTTCTACGACGACCAGGCCGTCGCTATGCAACATTATACCTTTACGCGTACGGACTTTCCCAGGCTGTGCCCGTTTGACCCTATACTCTCACCGCGCCCCACCAGCATCCCTAACAGTTTGCCACCCTCGCTTCCTTTATATCCCTCTTCATATCGCTATTAACGCGTTTCCCCCGTTTCCCCATCTGCCATTTTCACCTAAGAATCGTAGTAGGGCAAGGCGCCAGGCAAACACGCCAACGCGGCGTTATTTTTTTTTGCTTTAATTTCTGCAATTCATGTTCTACGAAGTGTTGGAGCAAACACTTCCGTGTTTTTTTTTTTTTTTTGGTGACGACATTTTCCACGAGCCAGCGAGCGGAGCGAGCTATCAGCGTCAACTCTCTTTATGCTATTTTCCTCTATCGCATCCATACACCTGACACCGCGCCCCCCGTGCCGCTTGCTTGGCGCCGTTTCCCGCATCCCTGGTAAGCCAGGCGTGGCCAGGTTGTAGGCCCCACGCGAACCGCGACACGAACAAGACGCTCTATACCCAATACATACACCCGCGGCCGGAGGCACGAGCGAGAAAGCTATTTCGTATTGTGTGTACGTGATCGGCAGCGATTGCGGCGTGCCGTGCGACCCCCGCAATGACCCTATACGTGATCACTCTCTCCCTTCCGCCGAGCACCTCTCCCCGTTTGCCATCCATAGCGTGGGGACAGGAGGGAGAGAAACGCTGCCTCTTGCACAACAATCCCGACGGCGTGTGTGCGGGTTGCCAGAGGCCGAGTTGCGGTTCGGGTTTTCTCTTTGCCTCCATCGTTCATAAGCGAGCAACTAACCTGCCCGCCCGTGCCGACCCATCCTCTCGCTCCCTCGCCCGTCTGTCCATCTAAAGGGGTGTGGTCCGAATCCGGACACCGATCCGTACACCACCACCACTTTTCTTTCTTTCTTTCTTTCATTCTTTCTTTCTTTCTTTCTAGGCTACAGCAAAACCGAGATATGGTTTGTGTCATCGCTTTGTCATTCTGTGCGGCGTGGGTACGTCTATTTCGTACGTGAATGCCTTGTAGCATGCCGCGAGAGGGAAAGGGAAAATAATTTGGATCCCTTCGCCATGGGCGCGACCTCCTTTGCTGCTCTTGTTTCGTGTTTAGTGCGGGTACGTCGAAACAGAAACGACGAAGGGAAGTAGGGGAAGTCGACTCGGTCGCGTCGCGCACCAATACTTTCCCATCGAACGACGGCGACGCAAGCGGTGTTCCAGCGTCACGTCACCGATACCGGGCAGATACGATCAGGCAACGAAAAAAAATTAGAAAAAGGTATATTTAAGTAAATGAAACCGTTACTAATTTCAAAAAAAATGGGGGGGGGAGGTGGGGACGTGAGCGTGCGAGTTAGCAAATGGGCGATCTGCGCGGACCTTCATCGAGTACAAATTGGGGGAAGATATATGACAGCGAGATGAATTGTCAAATGACACGATGGCTCTCGGAAAGAACAAAGGAAAAAAAGGCAAAACACGATATTAAGCGACAAAAAGCGTACGCAGTGTCATCTATAGGATGAAAGAGTTTAGGAGAAGGCTAAACGACGCAGTATGCGCGGCCGGTGTGGTTCCACCGAAAAAAAAATTGAAAAGGAAACTGATCAGCACACGCGATGACGCAGTGTAACGACACACAAGCACACACAAAGGACACACACGTAGTTTCGCGTGACTTCGCAAAAGGTCGATTCAAGTAGCGAGTAGTGTCTGTATGCGCAATTAATTAGGTAAAACGTCGAGTTAAAGATACCCAATTACGTCCGAAAGCGCACAGTTGTTGCGGCATGTGATCGAGCTCGTAAAGGCCGTTAGCAAGGTTTAAAATTCAACTTAAAGACATCTTATGTTTCTTGAAATATGAAATGCCCCCCCCCCCCTCCAACCATTTCACAACCCCGATGCAAAGAGCTTAGATTAACTCAGTCCCAGTCAACTCACTTACATAAACGGAACAATGGCACGTTACATCTAATCACCTAATTTCTATCACATGGCCTTCGTAAGGCCTTTCAAGTAGTTCTGGGATTCGACCTGCTAGAACTACAATAATATAAAAGCGATAGCTTCAGAATCATGCACTCTAGGAGAGTATACCTGGTTATACCTTTTGATGAGTCCTCACTTGTCACATATGCAAATCTTTTAAAGTGTGTACGCTAGTTTTCTTATGAGAGTAGTGTCTCCTATGACTCTCATAAGAGAGTGTGACGGTCTACAAATAGAGAAAACCAGCATATTTTAAGGGAGTTATAAGTCAAACGAGCGCCAGTAAATAAGGGCTAACATATTCTCTTCTCTCTCTCAGAATCTGTGGGCGTTTCATGCAATGCTGAGCGCACGTTTCGGGCACATTCACCAACGTCTGTGCTCACGCCAATGTAACAATGACAAAAGCAATGGCGCATAGTTTCGGAATCAATCAAATCCGAACGTACGGAAGGAACTCGTGCGTTGCCCCAACTCACCCTGCGGCAGGAGGAACGGCGGCAGCCCGAGCAGGTACTGTCGGTGCGATAACTGCAGCTGCTGCATGATCTGGTGCTGCTGGAGCGCCAGCTGCTGGAGCTGCAGCTGGAGCTGCTGTCGCCCCGGTTTGCCGCTCGCCGACCCCTTGCCGCCGCCGCCGGGGGATGCGTCCTGCAGAGACGGGCATTTCAGCCACGCGGATTTAACCTCCAATCACCAGAGATCCGACTCTGGCGACCTGTTCCACGTTTGTAAACAGCGGTGGACACCATTGTCCTACTGAGGTGTGCTGGTAGTGGCGTCGCGGCACGTAGGATCCGCCCAGCCCAAGGCTCATCACCACCCTACACACGACAACCGGCACAGCAGCTTCAAAGCTGCCTCCGAGCACAGCAAGCCTCCCCAAAGCGCTGTGCTCGAAAGCAGCTTTACAGCTTGTGTGCCAGTTGTCACGTGATCATAAAAGGCGGTGGCGAGCTTTGGGCTGGGCGGAGCCCACGCAACGCTACGTCACCGCAAGCACCTCAGTATGTCGACGGCGCCCACCACTGTTCACAAACGTGGAATAAGTCTGTGGAGATACGACTCCGGCACAAGCGTCTAAGAGTTCGCTCTTCACCTGAGAGGCGATAGCAGCTCCTCCGTGGGACGAGGAAGAGCCGCTGTTGAGTCCGTTGAGCTGCTGCAGGACCTGGCTTTGCTGGACCATGATGAACTGGAGTTGCTCCTGCAGGTGCGGGATGACCGTCTCCAGCTGCTTCTGTTGCTGCTGCTGCTGTTGATGCTGCTGCACGAAACACCGACCGACGCGATGAGCGCGAACTCGGGTCGACTGATCACCAGTGCTCACTGAAGCTAAGGTTAACCAAGGTTCAGCTGAGGTTAGGTGATTGCTAGTGCTCACTGAAGCTAAAGTTAGCCGTTTTGCAGAGCTCCCTTCGTCCACCTTGTTGCTCTGGCGCCACCCCTTATAGACACGAAATCCGTAGCCCCTCGAGCTGTTGAGAGACACCACTAGCCCTGTTCTGCTGCACTGCATTAGGAGTAGGCTCGTATATTTCGCGAGAAACCGTCATACTTCGCGACGGAATGAGCCGGGAAATTTGTTTTCTCCACGAGAGCGACAGAGGAACTCGCCTCGACATATTGATCGAGATACGCAGCAAGATACACGACACTTGTTGTTGTTGATGTCGAGCTTTGCCGAGACGCTACGATAAGCGAGTGCTTTGTCGCTGTGGTTACTGTGTTATCTAGAACAGCAGCGAAAACAAGAAAACAGTGATGTTGTTTAGTCTTTCAAAGACAAACACGGAACTTTAGAATTTGGTTTCGTTGCTGTTATTGTTGTTGTTGCTATTCTTAGACTTTAAAAAGCTTGCGAAAGTTGTTTGCGATGATAAGAGCCGTGTTAGTGTGGCAGTGTGGACAAACGACAACCTCACCATTTTGCGTGTGACACTAACAGCAAGGTTCACGGAAGACATTGCTTCAACGGATCTCGGGACATATGAACTGTATTCCCAGCTTCACTTTTCTGAGTGACGGTGTTCGCTCGCTTCACAAAAAAACAGTTCACTTAAAAAAGTTACTCGTGGGACAATAGAGAAAGAGTACACTCCTTGATTTCTTCTTCTTTTTATTGTTATTATATTATTATAACTATTATAACTTTTTTTTATTTTTCTATCTTCAACCAGGACAGCCATCAAGCAAATGGTTGGGAACTGCGCAAACTTGAGAAAATGACAGCACGAAGGAAGACAAGACCACGAACCATCCAATACTTCAACGATAGCCACCAAAGTTAAGTTAAGCAAATTTCTGTACAACTGTACGGGTATGAACGTAGGAACAGGTGGCAAAAGAAAGGTAGGGATGTTAACGAGCCTAGAGCAACTGGTATGCTACACTACACTGGGAACAGGGATGAGGGAGTTTGAAAGATGGAGAGAGGGAGAGAGAGGACAGTAATCCTAACACTATTAGTCTATACCCGCCGGTCCAAGTCCGTCGCTTTCATGAAGCCGGGGACTGCTTTCGTCGCCTTCACTCGCGATGACCTCTCTGGACGATATTCCAGAATGGCGTCCGCCGTGATCGGTCTGCGATTTATGCGAGCTAGCGCAGCTGCAAGCGATTTTCTCTACGCATCATAGCGAGGACAGTCGCAGAAGATGAGCTGTAATGTCTCCTCGCTACCACAGTTGTCACAGAAGGGGGAAAATTATGCGATGCCCATCGCGGATGGAATCACCTTTTGCGTTGCAATATGTATGCACACACACTTATTTCACGACGTCGCCTACGCAGCGTCGTTGAAGAGAACTTTGTGTGCGCCATTGGCCAACAAAGGCGTGGACTGCATGAAAACAAAAAAAAAAGCACTGCACGCCCCCCCCCCCCCTTCCAGCAAGGCATGAATGAAAAAAGAAGGCTCTTTTTTTTTAAGTAGACGGCCCCCAAGGGGCGTAGGTGCACGAGCCATTTTTTAAACTTTTTTTTGTCGTTTATGCTAGCCTTCCAGAGTAGAAGCAACCACACCCAGCGTTTTGGCGCCACTCCTTCTTCTTCTCTCTCTCTTTGTTTCTCCCGTCGTCGTTTGAATACGACAACGTCGGGCCCACCACGCAGTGCGTGCGTACGTTCCAACGTTTGCGGTGAGACGGAACACTCGAGAAACAAAAATAAGAAAAGAGAACGCCGGAAAGATAGAAACAAGCCGACATCGTTAGTATTCCGCTGCTGTCTTCTCGTCTCCCCGCCTCTTATTCCTCGTCTCTCATTTCTCAAGTTTCTTCAATATGTTTTACTTTCGAAACAGTGTAACTTGCACATGCAAAACGAACGTATGACAAGAACGTTCAGAGTATATAGACAGCGCCGAACTTTCGGCAGTGTGCGGCGTGCTACGAAGAAACTACCCATACGCCCCCGGCTTTGTGTGTGCTTGCATGCGTGTGCGTGTGTGTGTGCGTGTGTGTGTGTGTGCGTGTGCAGCCCCATTTTATGATCCATAAAAATCATATGAAACAGACGGGAAAGAGCTTGGAGACGAAGAAAACGAAACATGCGGTTCGATCTATATTGCGTGCGTCGAAGTAACACGGGCAGATTAACTCAAGCCTGGCGAACGCTACACCACCGCAGTGTACAGCCAGCACACGTGTAGGATAAATGTTGTCTTCTTCTAGCTATTGAAACGGAATCCCCTTGACCGGACTCGGTTCGTAAGTTTGACCCGACATGGAAATGCACTTTTCCAGCTTCATCCCAGCAGAAGGCGCCCCGCCGATTGATTTATTGATTGATTGATTGATTAGCTTCAATGGAGATATTTATCATTTGAGTGCGCTGCACTGTTGCTAACCTCTCGACGTTTTCATGAGTGCTGGTCCGCCGTTTTATAGAACGCCAAGCAAAATTTTATTATTATTATTATTATTATTATTATTATTTGATTAGATACACAAACAAACAAGGAGCCAGAGAAGATTGGAAGGGAGCAAGCTGACGACTACCACATAGAGGAGCACAACGCCCGCCTATATACTCCTTCGGGAAGAGGTAAATCCAAGCAAGCAGTTAGAATGAAAGCACTGAATCTGAGCCAAAAAAAAAAAAAGAAGAAGAGAGAAAGAGAACAAGGAATGCAACGCGCGAACTATTGTATAAAATAATGTACATACGGCGTACATTATTACAAATTTTTTTCTCTACATTTGTGAGTCTAAGCGACGCGCATGTACTGATCGGCTGGGCGAATTATGAAGTTGCTGCACCCATACCATTCAGTCGTAAGAAGAGAACACGAAAAAAAGGAGAGAGAAAGGGAAAACGTTAAGTAAGAAACGGCACGCGAAGGAAGCTCACAATTAGCGCGTCGCTAATCGCCACGCGCACATTATGCAAAAAGAAGGGAAGAGAAGGTACTCAACCCAGCCGAGACATGATTATCTGTAATTGCGCGGGATCGGCCGATGCGGGGAAGGGGGAGGGGGGTGGCATTAAAGTTTCGAAGGTAGCGAAATAAAATTAATGAAGAGCGCAGGATCCTGAAATCAGGGCATTGGAAAGACGTGGTAGAGGGGGAGAGGAATTTGTCATTAAAAAAAAACGCACGAAGCCGTATTATTTTTTGAAGTATGTGTAATGACATCCTAGCGGTGGGACGCGAAATTCAATAATCGCATGGTCTAAGGACACAAAAGTAGGCAATGAAATATTATCAGGGAAAGAATTAATGATAATATGGTCTGGCAGTAAAAAGAAGCAACGTGTTACTCGAGTATCGCAGTAAAAAAATGTCTAAAAAAGAAAGATATAGAAACGGCGAAGGAAATTATGACAATTATTAAGCTTATTTTTTATGATTGAGAGCTGGACGGATATTGACTGGGGCTCTCCTCATTTCCTGCCCACATGTGCGTCACATACGCCACCGCGACGCGGACAGGATGGCAGGAGTGAAAATCTTTGAGAGTCTCAAATTCGATTTCAGTTTTTAATTTTTTTAATTAGCTGGCCAAGCCAGGCACGTCCAAGCGGTTTTGCAAAACTGCCGCACGGCGGCGCCACATTGCAAAAGGAGCTCTGACGTCACCTGTCCGTTTTGGTAGTAGTTGCTGTTGTAAGTATTTGTCAGACATATCTTTATTATTTCGTTGTTGTCGATGCACCTAGGAAATCGCGCTCGTTAATTGATTTGACGGTTACGCTAAAAAAAGAAACATACAACTTGCGTAGAGAAATGCAAATGTGCTATCATGCCGAGGGTTTCTGGATCTTCATGGACACATCAAAAATGATTGAATCGATTCGAACTGAAAGTTTACAGAAATGCGCAGCGCATTTGAGTCGAGCATAAAACCCAGATCGGACTTAACACATGCGCGAACTGGTAATGATGCAAAGACTGGACGTAAAAATCGCTGTGCTGGCAGCACTAGGAGGCAGCTTTGGGAACAATCGCTCGGCCCAGTCAGCACTTGTTTCCAATTTTAAAAGAACGGAACGGAAGAAAAAAACATTAATTGCAAGTTTCTGATTCGACGATGGAAGATCGTGTCGAAGGCAAATTAGGTGGCTCCGCTGGCCTTAGCACTTCCGGAGTCTGGATAAAATGATGAACAGTAGCGTAGCTTTTCTTCTTCTTTTTAAACCTTTTTGAAAGCCATACTCTGACTTTAGTTTATTTTTTATGCCGACCTTATCGGGAGGCGGTCTGCAGCGAACAAAACGATCAGTGGAGTTGAATCAATGTTGGCCCCGCGCCTACAATAGGAGAGAAAGCTCAGCAATGTACGATGGAATCCAACTTCAAATCATTAACGAGAACAGATAGCTCTCTACAGGAACCGGAAGTGACGTTCCGACTCCAGTGAGCGCCTACCTTGCCCTCCTTTCCCTCTAATTTTCGCAAGAGCTCGGCTGCTTACTCGGGTATCTGGTATTTCGACTTCGTCCATCCTCCCGATACGATATTGTTATTTGAAGAGGAACTCGTGATGTCGGGAAACAGTGTACATATACATGTAGAAAGAAGGATGAAAAAATTTTGGGCCTCGTAATATAGAAAACGGCGTGTGTTCGCCGCATTCCCCCCCCCCCCCCCTCCATCTACTTGCAGTACTTGCAGTTTGAAGTTCATTGCCACACAAGCAATAAACTTCGAACTTTTCCGAAATACCAAAGTTAGCGTGGACTCTCGTTTTTAAGCATGTCAGGGACATCATGCATCGGTTACTTCGCGTCAGAATAGGGGACACTTCCCCACGCAACCCCTACGGAACTCGAGGAGGCAATTGAACATGACCTGAGCAGCTGCACTTGCTATGACACCCAGCGAAGCCCGCACCGGATTCTTTTAGACCAACTAGACTAGACCAACTAACCACTTCCGTATACAAGAACGATTCTGGGACCATGTACTTTTGCATTGGCGGCGCAGGAGGCAGCGAAACGGCTGGTGAAGTACTTAAGGTCCATAGACCTGTGCCACCACCTGTGGGCTGGATGTGCTCCTCCAAGTGTGCTTGTGATTTTTGTTCATCGCTTGTGATTCCGTCCATAACTCTCCTGCCTCCCTTCTCGCCCAGTGCAGGGTAGCAACAAGAGGTGCGCCTGGTTAAACTTCTAGCCTTTCCCTGCTTCTCTCTCTCGCTCTCTCGTTTCTACGTCTTGATTGCTGTGCTTCGATATACATAAACTGCCGCAGGAACAACTGATCTCATGTCTCTCTGGACCGTTGTTGTCTTCGAAAATGTGACCGGAGGACAACGTAACTTTTCAGCGCTAAGGACAGACCAGCGGCTATCTATGCCTGTGTGATTTTTTACCCTCGGTTGTATTTTTTTGTGAGCCTAATGCGCGGGAGGCTTTTTGTTACGTATAAGTTTTTAACCCTGAGTGATAGCTGTCCTTCAAATTTTGGATTATAGTTTCACGCATGCGTGTGCGTATTCGCTGTAGCATGGCCAGCTTCTGTGAATAAATTTTAGCTTGAAGTGAGCGCTCGTTTGTGTAGTTATGTCCCCTGTCTGCTTACCCGCTCTTCACACTACTATGGATGATGACGATGATTCATGAACGCGTGCTTGCCTGTTGCTGGAAGAGGAAGGTCTGCTGCTGCGAGGCCAGAATCTGCTGCAGCTGGGCGGGCGAGAGCAGCTGCTGCTGCAGGAGCTGCTGCACCTGCTGTTGGGCCAGGCTGTTCATCACCAGCAGCGGGGACAGGTCCGGGCTGCTGCCTCCCATCGGTGCGCCGCCGGCGTTGCCCCCGCCGCCGGTGTTCCCGCCGGCACCCTGAGGCAGGGCGCCCTTGGAGTCGCCTCCGCCCGGCCAGCCGCCCGCCGAGGAGGCCGCCGCCACGGCCGCCGCAGCGCGCTGCTGAAGCTGCAGGTGCAACTGCTGCGTCTTGGACGTGCCCAGCGGTGTCTGCGCGGGAAGAAAGGGAACAGCGGTTAGGATCATCCCAATGCCCGAACCTCGGTCCTAGCGCTAGGCTTAAGGAAACACGTTAGGCTTAGCAACTCCGGAAACTAGGGGACTTTGCTTTGAGAGAACAAATGGGGCTGGCTAGGCATAGCCAAGTCAACAGACAGGACTCGTTTGAGTAACAATTAAGAAAGGCTCGAGGGTTAGGCCTAATGAGTAGCTAAGCCAGCGGGACCTGCGTAGACAAAACAGTCAATGCCAGCTAAGTTAGCCTAAGGTAGAAATGAACACTCAGGTCAATAATTAAGAATCAAAAATCACAAAAAGTCGTTAGACCTGTCCCAGTAGCCTAGTGCCGAGCTAAGTAGAGAGGCCTGTGCTTATAGAATAGTTAATTGGATTCGAGCTACCAGAAAAGCGCTACTTATCTGAATACAGTGCAATGAGGACAGGATGAACCTATTATATTTAGGATTTTACAAAAACAACATTGACTTGTCAACTAAAAAAAAAAACAAGTGAACAGCAAAGTGACTGCTCTATAATCTTGAATCGCACTGCTTGATATGCATGTAATGTGTATTCTGGCAAAGGATGTGGTAGGTTGAATTTCGCGTTCACTATATGGTAGCGCACACCTTGTTGCATTAATCGCTTTCGTGCTTGTTCGAGACGGCACTGTTTCAGCGCCGTGTGCTCGTTCATTTGCTTGTTTGAAACAAGCGGGCCTACCGCTGATATGTACAGTTTGCTTAATTTAAGAGATAAGGGGTAGCCAGCGTTACTTGTAAAACAAATATGTTGGTGAGAAATCTAAAGCTTTAGCCTTAATAAATGGTGTTATCGTGTTCACCCCTGAAGAGGTCGCTGGAGATAAGAGAGTATTCAATCTGAGCCTGAAGGATTACTTGTCATGGACCCTGCTTTGCAATGACGTAACTAGTATCGCTCAATGCGTTGTGACGGCACGCTAAAATTGATGCAAATGCAGTGTGGCGCACTCGCACCTCCACTTACTGCCAATAAAAAAAAAACGCAGACTGGTGGGAGGAGGTTTGGCATCACCGTCACGAACTGTACAGCGCCGCGTACAAGAATCACGCCGAGAGGGTTCGTGCGCAAAAGTGAAATCACTTCGCAAGTGCAACATCACGAAACGGGGCGTTTTAGTGGCGCCGTTAAAGCTTTACGACCACAGCCCCCCCTATGTGAAGCCGCTACGAGAGCGCAGGGAACACTCGCACAGCGTCATCATCTCGGCAACCGACGCACGCTTTGAGGTTGCCGCCCAGCGGTTATCAAACACCGGTCGCAAACCACCGGTTTCGGAAAGGGTGAGCGAAAGAAGCAACACACGACACTGCCGGAAAGAGACCTTCACATCACTAGCAGGGGGTGCTGCACGCAGCCCTGTCACTTCCAGCGAGGTAAGCACAAACGACAGAGGGAGAAACAAAGCGCTAATGGAAAGACAAAAAATAGACGCACGGTCGCAGTTGAGATGGAGGAATAAGGTGACAGAAAAAAGTGCGCCCGATACCTCGCGGGTTATTTTGGGTGTCTCGATTGAGACGGATGAGAAATCGTTCAACGCCTTTTCTATCGAGTGGCCACGGAAGTGACACGCGCCACCCGTAGTTGAGACGTTGCTCTCCTTTCACCCCCTTCTCCCTCTCCCGCACAGGCACAAATTCATCACACCCTCTCTGTATTACTCGCTCAATCTGTCCTTCATTCTTCATGCTTGACACCACCTGCGAAATGCCATAGCCGCAGCGGCCACACCCTAAAAGTGTAAACAGCCTCTATTCATTCATCTGGACAATTTTCCGCCGTGTCTACACAGCAAGTGAGATCAGTAGATATAAATGAGAAGCTAGCAAAACCACACCATGGTTTTACACGATTGCCCTGCACGCGCTTCCACCCGCGAAAATGCGAAGCGGCAACTGCAAGCTTGTTTCACTGCAAGTGGGAGCGTGTTGCGGAGAAGCAAATGTTTTTATTCGCGGCGGGGCAAGACGGCGTTCGACGTTGCCCGCAACACGAGCCTTCCAGAGGCGCATATCGCGGCCGACAAAACCAACATACTCCACCAGATAGTACATAATGGTGTTCGTGCAATCAGATTGCCTGGAATAATCGCGCAACGGTAATTTTCAATGCGCAGGCTGGCTTCCATGTTAAGGGGCGTGCGAGTATTGCAGAAAACCAACTTCGAATGCTTCAAAAGGGTTCATTTTAATGCAGTCGTACAGAACGACAAAAATATTACTATTACAATGAAATGATAGTCAAGTTCAATGTGATACGTAAACAGCTTCGATAACATAACAGAATAGCCAAGATAGTTCAGGCTTTCCGCGGCAGAATACGTTTGCAGTAATCATCAACCAGAGTGCACTTACACAATTATGCCCAAGCATATACAAATATGCAAATGGTATACAAACTAAAAAAAAAAACACATCCATCGAAGGCGAACCAGAAAAAGAATGTTTTCAGACACATTCATCTTAAAAGTAATTAAGCTAGCCTAATGTCCGGCTAGGCGGTAACATGGCAAGGCAGAAGCCACGCCCGAAGGAACGTCTTTGTGAGAAATACTAAAAGCAGAAGAAAGAAAAAAAAGTTTTCCTCGCCTTGATGCTAGTTTGCATCGATATGCATGCTCATTCAGTATAACTAAAGAGACGAACTTCCGAAATGCACACCATTATCACAGCAAGTTGGAAAAAAAATAACGATAGTCTTAGAACAGGCATAGGCGAAGGTTTGTTTTACAACAGTGTTTCCCTCTACAGACCATAGCTCATCAGTCAATGTCTCTGGGATCATTAAGAGACACGAAAGCAGGACAGGCGGACTGATGAGCTTTCGTTTTTGACGGTCTTGGTGGCTTCAACCGGATTCACGGAACTAGAGATAACTGGCGCGCAAGACGACAGAAACCTCATTCACAAAAACGACGAAAAAATATTAAAATAAAATAAATCAAGCAGCCACATTCGGAGTTCGCGGCCGAAGTCAACGTTACGGTACTTAAGGGCTGGCAGACACGTCTCAGAAATCTGGCACGACGAGATCACTTAAGGTCTCTTCCATCTATCTCAAAAAGAAAAGAAAAAGACAAGAAGACGAAGTAGACGGATTGAAATAGAGCAAGCGTGCACGGATTCGAGAATTAGGTGTAATTACCACAACTATTACGGAAGCTTTCGGAGTCCCGTTTCCAAAAGAGGGCGGGTTCCAGTTCATTAGGAAGCTTCCGATGCCTTCGTGCTTTAATTGTTTCCCTGGAAACATCGAAAACAACGAAGCTTGAGTCGCCGAATAAAGAGGAAAAAAAGCTAAAGAGAGTTCACCTATCACTTTTCCGTATAAGCTGTCTCCTGGGAAAAATTGGACAAGCTAGAACACATCCCCGTATCGTAATGACAATTCAACGACGCGTCTGATTCTAGTCTCGTGGGAAACGTAAGCGGGTTTATAAAGGAGGTGGTCTATACTGTCGAGCCTGCAGAGAAATCATTCAATAATAAGAAAAAAACAAGGATTTTCGAGTCACCAGAATGACTCGGGAGACTACAGCGGTGAGTTGAACGCCGACGATGTATGGTCTTGAGTATCACTGTCCGACGCGAGCTCGATTTGAAAACGAATGCGCGGCTTCCTTGGAAACCCCGTGAATTCTCGACACCTTGATAGCGTCAGCTCTAATTATTCTTCGACGCCGAGGCGCCTGAAGTGACCCCCAGCATCAGAGGCGACGTTTGAAGAGAAGGTCTGATTCTCCGTCGCCGTCTCTTATCTATTAAAAGCACACCCGAGGTTTTTTTTTTTTTTGCTAGCCCTCGCAACAGTGGACAACACACGGGGGCTCTTGACAGCCGAAACCATCCGTTTTCGAAACATACGGACCCGTTCCCTACCTACGTCGTGGCTGCCCCTTCCTGCTGTTCCATTCTTAGGTATTTCCTTACACTCACTATAGCAAGCTGGCCGTTAATTGTCCTTCAGGTTTTGCCCCCGTATCACCGGTGCTCGAAGGACATTAGGGCTGAGTTTGCGAGTAATAACGGCCTACGAAAGTAGAACGAAAACGAAGGCGAAGCGGAGTACAACACGAAAACTGGTTATAAAGAAACAGAGCAAATCAAAGACACCGACAGTGAAGTTCACAAGGGAAAGCAAAAGGTATATATATATTGGGACTGGGCGGTCTGGGTGCGCAAAGGAGTTCGGGATCGCTATCAGGGTTGACTCGATTAATCACGCTGCTGCCGTCTGTGTGTCCCGTTTAATTTCCGCGACGCGTGGATGGCTGGGCGCCGCGGCGTTCCTTGCGCTCTGCGCACACCGTAGAGAGGGACACGCCTACTCTGTCGAACTGCGCACCAGCACCCCATTCCCCATTTTTTTTCATAGTTGCTTACCCTCTTTACCTTCAACCTCTACTCAACCTTACTCCTTCAAAGCCTTTTTGAACCTTATACTACGAACCATCTCATTACTTTTGTTTCTTTCGCCGCGACCCCTGCGGCTATTTGCGACCAATCTGCTTCTCCGAAAGAGTGCGTCGGTGGGCAAAAGGCCGTCCAATCGGAAACGGCCGATTCGCTCCGCTCACGAAGCCGTTGGATCGCTATAGAACTAGAGGAAAAGTTGAAAGAGCAAGTTTGGAGTCGCACAGAACGCGCCGAATCTTCCGCTGGGGCACGCCGAGTCGAATCGAATGGGGAGAAAGGTTCACCGCGTCGAGTTGCCCATTCGATTCATCTGAAGTTTCTCGCAAGCCTCTTGACAAGTCGACGCAACGAAAGCAACCACTAGCGCATCCAGGAAGGGATAGGGGAGGGTCTGCTCTTAGCCTACGACATTCTTCAGTTTCGCATGGGCACAAAGTATACGAGTATGTGATTGGCGGAACGTAGCAGAAACGAGTGTGGTCAGGCCAATGACGATGATAATATTCAAGCACCCTTATTAACCCACACACG